TTATTACTCCGAGCCGACTAGTTGGGTGACACGGGAGACATCTCCCGTCACGCAGGGTACAGTTGCACCTCCATAGATCTCCAGTATCAGCTCTTGATACTGGTAATGGCTCCAAAGGGCCACCACTTACGGGGCTATTCATGCCCGTGCCACCTTTTGGGGCTTAATCTTCATCAATCAATCTTTAGTTGGGTGACCCGCTAGCTGTGTGGCGGGTGTGGTGGCACCTGCGTGGGGGCCCTCAGCTTGGCACTCTCTTTGGTCACTACTCACGCTGACATTATTATTTCCAGTATTCCTGGTTCATTTGGATACTCGGTTCCCACCTGCGTGTCTTGCTCCTTTATTACCCCATTCCAAATGTATTTGTTCTATCAATTCTCGATAATTTTTTACATGGTAATCATGTCTCGACTAACCCTTCTGTCTTCCAGTGACATGAAGTTCAATGCCATTAGTCTTTCGTCTTCACTACCCCCTTCCCCCCCCCCCTAGCTAATTTGTAATTAATTGTTGTCAATAAAGATGTTAATACTGGGAGTTGTGTGGTGGGAGGCTAACCTCAAGTCATGCTTAGTGTGCTACCTTCCGTTTGATCTGGCTTGAGGCGTTGTTATTAGCGGCGGCCTGATCGTTATGGAGCCTGTTTCTTGCAAGGCTCTGTACTCTCACAACCTTTTTCTGTGGATTCACACGGAGAGTCCTGTTGGTGGTGGTTAGTTTAGAATTAGCTTGACACGGCCGCATATGCTGCAGTGTTAGAGACGGTCTTCCTCTCCAGACCCCACCCTCTCACGATAGGTTAGGTTCGGCCAATTTAGTACATCAATTTGTGTCCCTTGTGTCTAAGAGGACGGGCGGGATAGTTACTGGGGGCGAGAGTAGACAAGGTTAGTGGCGGCTTTAGCTGCTTCATCCGTAGTTGCAGCAGTGTTGAGGAGGGAGCGGTGGCCTAGTTGGCAGCGTGCCCACTGGGTGCCGGAGACGGTGGTGGTGGTGGTGCAGCACTGCTGTTTGTGGCGCCTACCTCTTCTGTTTACCTTCGGGGGTGGTGTGGCTCATTGTTGTTTACCTGTAGGTGAGGTTTGTGGCAGCTCCCTTAGGGGCCCAAGTGCAAGGTTTGTATAGCATCACTAAGGTGGCAGTATAGCTCCTCAAGTTGGCACTAGTGGGGCATGTGTCTTGGTGCTTATACGGTACAACTTGAATGTTAGTGGTTGTGATACGTCATCTTTGATTTGTCAGATGTGTTACTGATGGAGGTTGTAGTTGATGCTGGCACGTGTTATGGGAGGGTTGGGGGACGTGTTAGGGGGGTTTCCGAGGGGATGCTCACGTGTTATGGAGGTGATGGCGGGGGTGTCACCTTATGGAGGTTTCCCGAGGGGATGCCACGTGTTATAAGGGGTGTTTCCGGGGGGGGCGGTGCCACGAATCCTCCCACGACACCAAATGTGGGTGTGAAAACTTTATGATCAAAATCATTAAACCGGGGGGAAGGAACCAGTAGGGTGGTAGTCAGTGCATTTGACTCACAAACAGAAGGCCTGGGTTCGAATCCGTGAGCGTCGGCTATCACTGGTTCGACCTGGTTGTAAAGTTAGTGGCACATCGTTTTCTATAGAAATTTGTAGACTTGGTGCTAATTAGATAATGGTGATAATGGTGCTAATTAGTTTAAATTATAATGCAGACTATGCGAAGGGTTTTCTATTTACCATTTGATGATCAGTGTCCTTACCATACTACTTGTGTAAAGGAGGAAATGTATATGTTTATCTCTCAGAATGTTCGGTAATACGTTTACTGCTTGTGATGTGTGTCAATGTATGTATTAACACGATGTACTGAACGGGATGAGAATAGCTTGAGCTACCTCATCCCTTTGTGTGTATTTTACCTCAATAAACTTATTTCAACTTCAATTTCAATGATCAGCGTTTCGTATATTCCTGTACGAAATTTATAAATTTATTATGGCGTATTTATCGTTTTGATTTTGCTTCTGTATAGCAACGCTCAAACTCTTAGTGTGAGGCAAAACGTGATGATGTTCCCAGCAATTTCATCCGGATCCGCAATAGTTTCTCACGATGATTGGAGAGGCTGGAATAACCGGATGTGAAAGTATGAGAGTTGTGACTACAATTGTTTGCTTCGTTTTTCTTCCGTTTGCAATCGAGATTTGCATCTCTGAGGTAGTTGGGCGGGTATTAACGAGTTGTGATGTGGTGGATTGTGCAACGTGCACGCCTTCTGTCTTCCCCAAGTCTGTTTATGTGTGATTTACAGTCTGAGTTACGCTCGCGGTGTCTCATCTTCCCAGTACTGTCGTATTACTCTTTAAAACTACTGACGGGTTTGGCCTCCACCACCACCTTACTTGTTCCAGCCGTCTACCACTCTGCTTGCAAATTAATATACATAATAATTTACACATGGAAAATAGAGGGGCTGGTCCCAAACCTGCACACAGGAATAAGATCACATGAGACCAGAAGACATGGCAGGATGTGCAGAATACCCCCATTGAAGAGCAGAGGTGCAACAGGTACTCTTGAGAGAGAACTTTATCAACACCAGAGGCCCGAGACTGTTCAACGCTTCCACTACACATAAGGGACATAACTGGCCGACCCCTCACAGTGTTCAAGAGAGAACTTGATAAGCACCTCCAAAGGATACCTGATCAACCAGGCTGCGACCAGCCGCGTCCAACAGCCTGATTAACCAGTTCAGCAACCAAGAGGCCTGGTCGAGGACCGGGCCGTTGGGACGTTATGCCCCGAAACCATCTCAAGGTGACCACAAGGTAAGGAAGGCACGAACTCCCTCGACTGGAATAATTGTTGATCTAGAAAATGTTGAGAACATTAACTCGTAGCATCTATTCTGACTAAATTATTTGTTGCACCTAAGGTATCACAAATTATATTCCTGGAATACAAGCAAGACACATTTCAGACCTAGAAAATCTGGAAGGACTCTCTCCAGAGTGAAACAATAGAAATAAAATCGTAACTTATTGTTTTAAATAAATTGAGAAGAACTGGTCCCAAGACATGGCTACATGGGCCTTGATTTCTTAGAGCCATCACTAGGATGGTCAATGTAGCTAGTTACTGGATAAGGCAAGAGAAAATAACAAATAAGACAGACGAGGGATGAAGTAGCTGCAAGTTTGAACTACTTTACGGGCAGCGACGGAATTTTCCGTCACTAGAGGTGCCCTCGCGTGTTTCTGCCACTTCGTGCGGCACTTTAAATTTGACTCATTGTTTCCTCTTGCTGTCTACAACGGTGGGTGGGCGTTGAGCTGGTGTAATGAACCTGCACAATGGTGTTTTGACAGAGGCGGCCCCGCTTACCACACGAATTAAAGGATGTTCAATCTACCAGGTAGACGGTAGCGTAGCCTAGATTTGCACGCGCTGCCTGTAACGGTTGTCCGGGCGGGGGAGTCTGCCACCCGCACGTGGGGGGCCCCTTCCCGCCCCCTCTTCCTACTACTACATTTCACTATTCCCCCCCCCCCTTCTGACACTATCCTCCCCCCCCCCCCCAGCCCTGTTGACAAGTGACACTACCGTTTTCGCTCCCGACTTCCCCCTTTTCCCCATTTCGCTCCTGACCCCTTTCTTTATTCCCGGGCCTTCTGAATTACATGTTAATAGGTTTCCCATCACATTACAAATAGGTTTCAGCTGCGTTGCTCTAGACCTTGACATTTTATATTTATTGTTTTAATCTGGCAAGAATTAGTCAATTGTTTATAATGCGTTGATTTTCAGTAGGTTATTGTGTGGGTGATAATGGCGTTTGTGGTTGTGCAATCTCGTTACACGCTATCGTTAATCGGCTCAAGACAAGCAAAGGCGTTGTTTAACTAGTGAATCAAGTACAGTATACCACTCCGCTACCCTGCGCTGTAGTGTTCATCGAGCACAAGGTTATCACATAAAGCTATCAAAGGCACCACCACCATCACACCACGAACCTTTGATGTTAAGGCTTGGGTTAATGAGAACTCTTGTACAAGCTATAAAAGTGGCCCATTTGTTGCGCTTAATTCGTTTTTCTCGGTAATTATGTATGTTATTCTTGGCAGTACCAGTATGTAATACGAAGCTTCGTGGAATAGCTTTTTTTATATGTTGGCTGCTTTTCAGATGGTAGCGTAGAACCTCTTTGATGCAGATTTTCAGTCATCAAACTAAAAAGTAATGGTATTGTCAGCTCACTTTCTGTCTTTCTGGATTTTGTGGAGGAAATTGTTTTTTATTTGGTGAAATTTCTTTCATCTTTGATATATATATAAAGACACGACCAGCCATCAAAAGACGTTAACAGAAAAGAACAGTCATGTCTCAGAGAGAGTAGATGTGTCTTCTTGAGCATTGCTGCTCTAGCAGTGTTGAACATTTAATTATTTTTTAAATAAATAAAATGTGTGTGTGTATATTGTGTGTGTAAATCACGAAAAATACATACTTGATTAAAAATGTGACAGTGTCAGACCACGGAGGAAAAATGAAACAGGAATTTCCTTAAGTACTTTCGTATATTAATACATCTTCAGAAGGAGTGGTTTTACAGGTCGAGTACTGGACATAAATAGGCAGGAGAGAATGGTGGAGTGAGGTGAGGTGCAATAAGTGGACACAAATATGAGCCACACAAAAACTGCAGAGGGCCTATTGGCCCATCCGATGCAGCTCCCATTCATAAACACACACAGGCCCACACATGGATAGTCATAGCATAAGATAGTAAATATTTACAATGAATTAGTGAGACAAATGTGTTCCAATGATCCTACTCAAATCGCCCTTTAATTGATCTATTAAAAATGGATCTAAGTTATATAAACCACTGCAGCGATGCAGCTCCCATTTATGAATGGGAGCTGTATCAGATGGGATCGGATGCAATACATGTACATTTGAATTTCATTGCCATTTTATTGTAGTTTGCAGTAATGTTGTACTATACTTTTTCAGGGGTGGGGCGGATGGCGGCTACGGAGGGTCAGATTCGCTTCAGTGGCCATACCCTTGACAAGGCCACAAAAGCGAAGGTTACATTAGAGAATTATTACTCTAATCTTATAGCACAACATTTAGAAAGAAAGCAAAGGTAAGGTTGGCAAAATTACAGTATGCTTTTAATTCATAGACATTTATTTTGTTACATTTGACATGCACTCTATTGATGTATACAGATTACATATATAGATTACAGTATATGTAATCAGGCTTGGTCCAACAAAACAAACTGCTTTTCTAACAGATGTAATGATTTTGAATAAAAGCTCCTGCTAATATTGCATTTGTCTGAGATTTTTGTAGCCCTGTTCAATTACAATTGTTACTGAGATTACAGTATTTAAAGTTTTCTCATTGTAGATTATCATAAACAGTACAGTACTATACCTGCTCTTGTATCATAATTATAAGAACCAAATGAGTAAAGTACTTTAAATTATTCAGTTTACTGCAGAAGCTGAATAAAACTTTGTTTTGGTTAGAGATGTTTTAATACTGAAAATTATGTTCATACTTAAAGTAACAATTATTGTATATTGCTAGCTTCTCGCAAAAATACTGTTCTTAATTGGTGGATAAGTATCTTCATCTCTCATGTTCAGTACTATTGGCTTAATCCTGTGAATTAGTTGACCTGGAAATACCACTTACACATATTTTCTTTGTATTCTTGCACTATGAAGGAACAAGCATGTCCTTGGTTAGTAATAAATAAAAAAATATGTATACAGTACAGAATATATATTTATATTTTTTCATAGTGTATTAATTGATGATTTTGAGTCTGCTTTAGTTATGACCATTGGAGTACTTTTCTGTTATAGACAAGATAAGTTGGAGGAGAGTATGAAAGAGGAAGGACTCTCTGAGGACCAGAAGCAAGAGAAGCGGCAGCAACATGCACAAAAAGAAACAGAATTTCTCCGCCTCAAAAGATCCCGGTTGGGTGTCGAGGATTTTGAAGCCCTCAAAGTTATTGGCAGAGGAGCATTTGGCGAGGTAATCAAAATACTGTACAGTATATGGGTTGCTTTCTACCTTATTACCACCTTGATTACTGAGGCAGTGCGTGTGTGTGTGTGCAATAGATAATTGTTGCATCGATGTTGCTGGGATATTGTAGTAAAAGTTATAGGATTTGACCTGAAAATTTAAGTTAACTGAATTGCTTTTTAACATTATTATAATTGTAAAATGCTTAATACAAACTTTGTGATTAATCTCTTTGTTTTTAAACAGGTTCGATTAGTGCAGAAAAAAGATACAGGTCATGTCTATGCTATGAAAATATTGCGAAAAGCAGATATGCTGGAGAAAGAACAGGTGCGTCCTATACAGTATATGTAATTGTGTTTTGTTGTATGCAATTTTTTATAAAAATATTTCCATTTATAGGGTTAAGAGAATACATTATATTAGATACTTTTAAAAGGGAATATCCAAAAATCTTTATTAAGAATGCCTCTTTGGTCATAATTTCTAGCTTGTTTATAGTCTTCAGGGAAATTCTCTGATATTTTTAGGAATTCATTTTTTCTGGTGCTGCTGGAGTGTGTGTTTTGTCTGCACAATATTATAACATTAAATTCTCCGATCTTCATTAACTATGCTACACACACTATAGCATCAATTGATGTGGTGGCAACACTTTTTGGAGCCTATTTTCTGCATTTTCTTTTTATTGCTCTTTATATTGTGTGTAAAAGACTGTTGAGATTTAATGAAAATATATGTACAGTATTTAGATATACCTTGGAACTTAATGGCTTGAGAGCTTTCTGTCACACCTAGATTTTAGGATTAATTTGCTGACAACTTTCGTATTGTAGCATTTCCTTTTCGACTATTTTCTTCATAATTCACATACTAAATTGCTTTATACAGTATTTTATACTCCTATACCATGTGATCTTGTAATGTATTGTAATTAAAATTAGTGTCAGGCATACTTGTTCAAAACTTGAGCCTTCTTATATCTAGACACTTTGGTGTACAATGTGGAATTTGTTAGTTTGAAAATACATTCATAACTTCAGCTATTTACAATGCTTGAAAGAGTAAGTCTTCTTTGAGTCTTTCCATGTGATTTTAATAGTGTGTAAAATATGTATGTAAAAAAAAATTGTCTATACAGTACATGGTACTTGAAATGTTAGAGAAGTAATGTTAAAGTTTTTGTTTTTTGTACTTTTATAGTTTGATGTTACTGTTACGTGTATTTCATAACTTGGTTACTTTCAGGTGGCACACGTAAGAGCAGAGAGAGATGTCTTGGTGGAGGCTGACCATCAGTGGGTAGTCAAGATGTTTTACTCGTTTCAGGATCCAATTAACCTGTATCTAGTGATGGAGTTTCTTGCGGGTGGTAGGTTAAAATTCATTTTCTAAAAGGGTCTTAAAATTATTGCTTAGTGTGTTTTAAAAAGTTGGTATTCAACAAAATTATTAGCCAACTAATAAATAACTTTGCGTAGTTTGTTTGCAAGTACAGTACAGTACTATATTAACTATTTGCTTCTTTCAAGTTATTAATTTTTTTCCTTATCAATGTTAAAATCAAGTTCCGATATACAAACTAGTCATCTTCTAGTCATTTTAAATTCTCCAATCTGTGGATTTCTTCACAGGAGAGGAACTTATTCCCTGATATTGTTTGATGGCATTCATGCTTCTTTCATGCTCACTTCACCATGTGCCAAACTAGAGGTGATAACTGGTGGTTAGGGAATAATGTCCGAGATTATGTAACAAATAATTTTGTTTTTCCTTATAGGCGACATGATGACTCTCCTTATGAAAAAAGACACGTTATCAGAAGAATGCACTCAATTTTATATTGCCGAAACTGCTCTAGCTATTGATTCCATTCACAAGCTTGGTTTCATTCACAGGTGAGTCAATGGTTTCTTTTTTTATATAACTATACAGGAATTATGAATAATTACAATATATTTGAATATAGTATCCTATGATACTCCCCCCCCCCCCCCCCCAAAAAAAGTCTTAAGTTCATTTGCTTATTGTTAAAAATTGACAATTAGAAACATGCTTAGTTTCTTTTGAATTTACAAATATTACAGTTTTAAGTGTTTTATGTAATGTGAGAGTGTGCTTGAAACTAGTGCTGCATATAAAGATATTTTACTAAATCTGCTTTGCAAGATGTTGGGCTAAACCTATAGGTAAATGGTTATGCTTATTATATTTAGATAAACGGGTAGTATCTTAGAGTAACCATACTAAATGAACACTTACTTGATTCATTTATTGCACATCCAAACCAAGGGGTTTTAATGAGCTAGAATATTATTATTATATTTTTCAGAGATATCAAACCAGACAATCTGCTATTAGATGCCAGAGGACATATAAAATTATCTGACTTTGGCTTGTGTACGGGAATGAAAAAGTCTCATCGCACAGAATTTTATAAAGATCTCAGCCAAGCTAAACCTTCAGATTTCAGTAAGTCTTGCATGAGAGTGAGGATATGTTTAAAGTTAATATATATTTGTTTTCCAGCTAAATTTCACTCGATTATTTTTTAATTGCTTTCTTAAAGTTTGAAGCACTTGAAATGCTAACCAGTACTGTACATGTATACAGTATATATACATTTTTGCTTCTGTCTGCCATGGGCAGGGTTAGAGATCTGTTAGACAACATAGTGTAGTGAGTTATTGAGCATACAACCACAAGAGATTGAAGTACAGTGTGTTTTACAGTTTAGCACCTCAAAGTTACCTCCAAAAAGTGGCCTCGTATTGATGAGGGGGAACACAAGACAGTTGTAAGTGATGTAAACGGATATAACTTGTAGCATAGTGTAGTTAGTTTAGTTTAGTTCATTTATTATGCACCCCATACCCATCTTGTGGGTGGTTACCAATTATTCCCAAGCACAGTGAAGGACAGACCAAAATATAACTTGTCAAGGCTTCAAAATCTTTGAGACCAATTCCACTTTTTATTGTTTCTTTTGATGGTGGTGTTTAGTTACTTTGCCTCTATGTGCTAGCTAACCTGACATGGCGTAAGTTAATCTGTGTTCTTCTGTTTGCTAATATTTGTACCGAATGAATTATTTCTTAAAATTGTGTGTGTAAAATTATTGAGCATTACTCAGAGTTGATTCTTTGAAGTAATGTTTTCTCCAAATGTAGGTGTTATACTTGACGGTGCTTGCCCACCTTGAGGTTATCTTGAGATGATTTCGGGGTTTAGTGTCCCTGCAGGCCGGTCCTCGACCAGGCCTCCACCCCCAGGAAGCAGCCCGTGACACCTGACTAACTCCCAGGTACCTATTTACTGCTAGGTAACAGGGGCATCAGGGTGAAAGAAACTGCCTATTGTTTGTCGCCGGCGCCCGGGATCGAACCCGGTACCACAGGATCATGCGTCCAGTGTTCTGTCCGCTCAGCCACCTTACACACAAAGTGCAACAATCTGACTTGAACATTAGGCCCAAGTCTTGCAGTACTGAGTATGATTTGCAGCACTCAAGTTCTACTACATAGTCTTACTTGTGGCATATACTGTAATACAGTACTGTTAAAAATATTAGCCAGGCATACTAGCTAAGCATAGCTTTTAATTCACACTTAATGTAAAGAACTGAAGCAATAAATATTTAATCACATAAATTTAGGATCACATTTTGCACTGCTTGAGAAGTTTCAAACTGAGTTAATTTGCCCCATGCATAAATTTACTTTTGTGTGGAAGATCTACACTAGACTAAAAATATAGTGTACATATTTTATTGACTGACTTACCAGGCAAAGGTTGCTTAAAATGTTAAAATAGTAGCTGTACATGAGTAAAACATGAAATGCATCACATTATCATCACAGTACATTCTAACTCATTTTGACTCGTGGACATTTTGTTCCGAGTAGCTAAATCTGAAACATGAGGACACTATTTGTCACCATTTTCGAAATCATACAGATTAGGCTACCCCTGAAATTCACAAATACTGTACAAAGATTACTGTAAATATACATTCTGTCTGTTATCTAATTTGAATTTAACATTCCATTGGGCTATCTGACAAGTTTATATGAGTGTATATATAACTCTTAAAAAATAGGAAGAGGCGTTAAGATGATGACACTCGGAGCAATATACAGGCTGCTTTTGAATGTTATATATATGACTGTCATATTAAACAGGCAGGCTGATCTAAAGTGAACGTCTGATGGCGGCGGCACAGCTGTACTTTGTGCTTGCCATTTTATGCCAGAATTTATTGGACATTTTTAGGTCTTGTGTAAATTTAAGGCTTGTACTATTGTACACTCAGTCTCTTCCTTTACGTATGTTCATATTGTATCATTATGAACACAGGATAGAGTTGAGTTGAATATTGTTTTTACTATGAGATGACCTTGGTCTAGACCAGGATTAGATCAAGGCAGACTTCCACTCTCGGCTGCAATCAAAACGTCTAATAATTAGTTATTAAATTTGTGATTATAATGTAAAATAATGTATTGTGATGTCTTCTACTCATTGCTGAAATGCTAAAAAAATAAATATAAAAATAAACTGCATGCTGGCCAAAATCGTTGTTTTTCTAAATTTAAATTATCGTCGTTGATGGTGGTGTACTGTACTGTAATAGCACACGGTAATGTGTTTAGATTAGCAATTGTCGTTTTGTTAAGATGCAATTTATATGCATTTTGAAGCACATAAATAACTTTTAGAATAAGATTACTTTTGTTAGTGTATGCATTTTTGGGGGTAATTTAATAATTATAAATTTGCTATATTGTTTGATTTTGTTTAATTTTTATTTTCTCTTTTTTCCCCATTCCTGCCTGCTTTTACTTCTCTTCTTGATCCCTGCTTGGCTCTATCCTTTGTATTTTGTTTGTCATTGTGAAATTGATCAATTTGTCGTTTTGAATTAATGTGTACCTGAAACTAACGTGTTTGTATGTTTCTGCTTAAATTTCTCATTTTGTCTACTGTAACATGTGGTAATCCTTGAATTCATACCAATTAACAATCTGCTATTTTTCTTGCATGAATTAACAAAAATTGGGCTCTCTCTCTCTCTCTCTCTCTCTCTTTCTCCTTGATCTTGTAAACAACACTTCAACTCCTGCATGCATATTACTTAACCTTGTTCACTCCCTTACTTCTACCTCTGTGCCCTATCCTGCCTATCCTATATAGCAACCTACTCCAATGTTCCAGCAACAAATCCTATGGATTCAAAGCGTCGAGCAGAAAGCTGGAAGAAAAATCGGCGAGCTCTTGCTTATTCAACGGTTGGAACTCCAGACTACATTGCACCAGAAGTTTTCATGCAGACAGGCTATGGACAAAGTTGTGATTGGTGGAGCCTTGGTGTTATAATGTATGAAATGCTAATAGGTAAGAGGCTCAAGTTTTTTCCTTTTGTATTGTATTTTGCAGTGTTCCTGCTCTAGGCTGCTGTATGTATGTACGTACAGTATGTATGAATGATTGTGCGTGCGAGTGACAACTACTATTCATTTGCATATTGAGCATTGCACCTGTTAATTATATAGTGGGGAAAACATTAAACTATAGCTATAAAATTAGATATAAATTAGTATACTTTGTACCCTCATAGGGGAAATACAGTATATTTGTTAATAATTTTAAGGAGTTAAAATTATTAATTGTAGGTTCTAGTCTGCAAACATTAATGAATGCAGTTTTTTTTTTTTATGGCTGTTCTGTTACTCTATTTACTGTTTTTCAGTAACATATGTTAATATTTTCTCTCAAATTTGTCAATTTCATACCAGGTCAGATGCTTATTTGTTTGTTTATTCTATTTGTTTCCTTGCCTTTTCTTTCTTTAATAACAATGCAAACAGTCTTGTAATTCAAGGACAAAATAAAACCCCAACTTCAATTTCACCCTGTTGATACCCCTCCCTTTCTCTGTTTCTGAAATTGAAGGTTAAAGGTATTGAATGTGACACTCAATTTTAATGTTAAGCATATATTTATATATAATTTTATATATATTGGGTATGAAGCTCTCCTAACCTACCAGACGACCTAAAACAGAAATTCCATAATTATTAACAATTATGGAATTACTACATTACTCCTTAATTATTCATCTAACTTCCTTTTTTAAGATTATGCCATACGTGCCTCTGGCTGTTAAATAAATTTTCTCCTATCCAGGCTACTATGCCTTTAATATTTTTGGACCAAGTTTCTTAGCTTTATTATTTATCTCGTGTAAGACAATTAGACAAAAAAAATTTCACTCCAAGGTTTGTGAAGTGTCACTTGTATTGATGCCATATGCTCTCCAGCAGCTTATGGATGCCCTCTTGCATGTTACTCTCCTTTTTTTTTTTTTGCTTTCCCAATGTCAGGAACAGGAAACTGTTAGGCTTATTAAGGTTTTCTTAGGCCCAGTGAATGATGAGAGGTTCCCTAAGAAATACACAAGTAGCATAATTGTTGCAATATTATTTAATTTGTTATTTTTATTTTTTTTGCGAGTTCTAACAATAAACTTGTATTAATATTACAACCACAGGTTATCCACCATTTTGTAGCGAGAATCCTCAAGAGACTTACCGCAAGGTGATGAGTTGGCGGGAGACATTGGTGTTTCCTCCTGAAGTTCCCATTTCAGAGCAGGCTAAGGACACTATTCTACGTTTATGTTGTGAGGCTGATCGAAGAGCAGGCTCCCATCAAGGGATAGAAGATCTTAAGTGTATGAAGTTCTTTCAGGTAATACTACATACTCAGACTTTTATTTCCCAACATGCATTATATGTTTCTAATGAAATTATATCTCTAGTTCTTAGTTGTCAACTTATCCTGTGCACGAACCAAGTATGATTGTTATTGAACATTGACTTTTACTCCTATACTGTATAATTATTTTATAATAGAGCAAATGCATAGGGTACTTTTTTGAAGCAAGGTAAAGTTTGTAAATTAATTTGCCTTGTGAAATACTGTACATAGTAGTTCATCTGTAACTGTGCAAATATAGCAGTTGTTAGTATAATGACAAATAATTGAATATCTGTGGTTGATACTTTTGCATTTATTGTAGATGTTTTATTAATAAAATGATATACTGTATTATGACAGCAAGTTGATTGGGAACATACTAGAGAACGGCCCTCGGCTATTCCTGTTGAGGTTAAATCTATTGATGATACCAGCAATTTTGATGAATTCCCAGAAGTTGACATCAAATTGCGTAAGTAATGAATTCAGGTCTTTAACTTTAAGCTAATTGATGTGTTAATAACAATATTTCAGGTTTTATTCACTTTGTATTATTGCATTGAAAATAATACAATAATACTTTGTTTGTATTATAGCTTTGAAACAGATCATGTCAAGTTTTAAATATTAAATTTTCTTTTATATGAATTTTTAACACAGTATACTGTTGAGTAAGACCTCAATCTTGTATGTGTATGTGTTCTGTAAGACATCTGACTGAAACTTGCCACTTCCAAAATAAAACCGACCACATGGTTTGTTTCAGAAAAGGCTCATTTTCACACTATTCAAACTGATTCTTTAGGTAAAAATGTTTTCAGAGACTTTTATCACCTATATGACAAGAATTTAATATATGGGCCAATATCCAGTACTAATTTAGCAAATCTCTTTGACACATCAAGAAAGCTTGAAGGACACCATATTCCAGGCTACCAAAAATTTGTCCTTTATCAACTTCTTTCTAGGCTATTGCAGTTTGTTCGAGCAGTACTTAATCTTTGTATTGCCATTTTATTAATTTTGTATTAATAGTAATATCAGTGCAAGTGGGTGTCTCGGTTCTTCCAAGCCATAATCTAAAAGATTGGCCCAGGACTTGATTTCCTTGCTAGGCTCAAGTCAACATCTCTCTCAACCGTGATCAGTAACTTTTCATAGTCTTGCCATATACAATAGTTGGGGAAAGGGAGATACTGGAGTATAACTATCCACTACTGAGCAACCCTTCATTAGAAGACAAACCACTTTCCCTTATGCTATGTACTATCGGATCTAGACGCAAGCTTGGGTTGAAGGATACCACAGTGTACCTCCTCAGTATAGACTTCTGATCAAGACTGTCTTCTTTGGAGCAGAAATTTTTATTGAAAAGACAGGATCAAGCAGTTGCTTCATAATCCTCCAGGCAAGATTAACAGATGCAGAAAACAAATCCCTATATCCTCCACATAAAAGTTGGGTGGGAACTTTGAATTCACTGCAGATGACATTTTAGACTAACTATCATTTAATTGTACAAGTCGACAAGCATATCCATTGCATCATGAGCAAAGAAGTGGGAAGCTGGAAGGTAGATGAAGCAAGATAGAAGTCCATTATTAACCTAGGTCTCGCACATAAAGGTGAAATCGCTCTCACATCCAAAAAGACAAACAGAAGTAATGGGTGGCCATTAAAAAGCAGCGCCACTCAAGCAGATCAAGCAGGTGTCAAGCAGACCACTCGGAAAAAGCACGCTGCGAAAGTCACTCACAACTGGGAGGAGATACCATACATGCTACACTGTCCAGTGGAGTTGTAATCTGAAGTCATAAACATGGTATCCGGGGTAAAACTCAGAGAGTCAGGTCATAGGTGGTGTACTCATTACGTTCTCTTAATAAGCTCTGTTACTGATAGTGTGGCAAAGTGACTTACCTAAGGTGTTTTTGAAAATCAAAGGCCAACTCTAAGGCCCTAGCCCAAGATATAATCTAAAGGTGCCACCTAGGCAGTGGCATAAATTTAGAGGCACATAAAAAAAGTAACTGGAATCAATAAAATTGATAGGGAAGAATTCCTGAAACCTGGTACTTCAAGAATGAGAAGTCATAGATTTAAGCGAACTAAACAAAGCTGCCAAAGAAATATAATCAAATTCACTTTCGCAAGCAGAGTGGTAGACGGTTGGAACAAGTGAGAAGCTGGTGGAGGCCAAAACCGTCACTATTTTCAAAGTGTTGTATGACAGTGCGGTGGGAAGACGGGACTCCATCTTGTAACTACACTTAGGTAATTATTTAAGTAATTACAGAAAGATGGTACAGTCCTGGTCCTAAGATAATCAGTGCCAGAGAAAGAAACCCAGGAAGACAGTCAAATCAGATGTCAGACACATGCAGACAAATGTATATTATGCCTTGAAGCAAGTACTAAAAAAAAATCTGCAGAACTAACCAGCAAAATGATTGACAGCTTAGCAACAAATGAGGGCTGTCATCGTGGCCTAACTCTTGTGGTGGAAGGTACTGTCATCTGGTGGTAATTGGGGGTTATAGCTGGTTGCTAATTTGTAGTTTAGAGCTATAATTCAATATTTTGGTGATTCCTATTACCAGTTTTATGAAGTTCATAGCAATTTGTTTTGTGACTTTGCTTTCCAACAAGTGGTTATTCCATGGTGGATTGATACACTCCACTGTCTATTCTCTGCTAACTACATAGCAAAATGTTAGTTTGAAAAGTATTGTACATATCATGGTGGTGAGAAAAAATGACTTAAGAGCCTGGGGAGTGACTAGTCCTGAGTGGACCATTTATGCTATGGCTTAGACGAACGTGCACTTTTTAAGAATTATCAGTGTACGTATTTTTATTTTTATTAATTTTGGTTGTTTTTAATATGGTCTTAATTTCATTAAATGTAGAATCATTTGGTGTAAAAAAAAAAAAAAAAAAAAAAAAAAATTGGTATTCAACTACAGCATTTCTTTTTCTTTTATAGGTGACTACATATTTTACACCTGTATATATAAATTATTTGTACAAATATAATTATATTTGCTCTAATTTATTTGGTTTAAATGAACATTATGACAAGTTATGAAATGTGATTATATCAGTGAATTTTGTTTTTAATACAGTTGCCTATTACTGCTTATACTAGGATTATTATTCTGCACACATTATTTCATTGTATTAGTGACATTGTTCTTAAAGCATTAACTGTACATATATAGCTCACAGCAGTCATACTACCCATGTCCAGGAATAAGCCATATAAGCTGCTGCAGTAATTAAAAGGTCACATAAACTAGGTCAATACTCGAACATGCATATCGCAAGACTAAATTTAACTATCTTCCTTACAACATGATAGACCATTCTGGGTTTCTCACCACCCCATCCAATATTTAGAGTATGACGTGCAGAATCTTCCTCACACCACCCTGACCACTAAAGTTCTTGATACTTTTGCCTTTAGTAAACATGAAGTTAGTGCATAAAATAATTCTTAATATTGTTTGGATAATGTAGTAAACAAATGCCCCTCTCTCTCGATTGCATAATTCAGTAATAACCTATGAACATTGTGAGGTTTCTTTGATGGCCTTTATTGTTATACAGCCATGTTTACATTCTGATTAGTTAGAAAGGGCACACATGCATGATAGACACCAGTATAATGCTCTGGATATAAAGTTGTTGCTTTTTATATAACTGAAGTCACAACATTTTCTAATGTGTGAAACCAAAACAGTTTTGAGCACTGATACGTAGTTTCCTGGCATAAAAACATTGAGCGTGATTTTTTCATTTAATGTTACATTACAGTATGTTGTCATGCAAGTTGCTCAGTTCATGGACTCTTATAAAACCTAGACCCATCCTTACAAATTACAATTCCTTTAGAGTCCTTAGGGTTTATTTCGCCAAGATGACCTAAGCAGATTCGTATATTTAAATTAGTTTTTGCTTTTAAACAGTTGGTAATAAATCAATCAATCTTGTTAAATATAATTTGTATTAGGCCATTTTAATATGAATTGAGGTGGTTAGTTTGGAGCACAGATCCAAGTGAATCTGAGAAGGGTACAGCAGTAATCTGGAGACTAATGTGTATTAATATACTGCAAGATATACTAATACACGTTTTTCTTTTACAGCAGATTGCTGTAAAAGAGCAGCTGGTGATCAGTTATTTGTCAAAACTAAGATGAGGGAATTTTTTAAAGAACTGTCCTATTCATTGTTTATGCATTTACAGTATATTCAAACCATATTATCTTACAATGGCTGCCATTTCACCTATTTCTTTACCGCATCTTTCTGGTGGTGTGTCGCACATTCCAAAGCTGGACATCAACAAATCCAAGGCAGGTTTCTCTTTTGGGTTCTTTAGGTGGCTGTCAAGTTTAAGGATTTTGTATATATATTGCTAAAACAAAAACAAAAAATTATAGTGGATAAGCCATTTAACAGGATGTCTTAATGAAGAGCTAAAGATAGTTATCTTTTGAGGACGGTGTCAGTCTTGCACTGCATCTCTGAAAATAGACCTTGAACAAAATAGTGTCTAGACCCAGCTGTTGAGGAAGGTAGTTAATTAATGACTTCTACCATCAGGGTGCAGGGGCAAAGCTCTGATGGAAGATATAAAGGATTGTATTCAATGAGACAAGTATTCTGTACAGTCTAAAGTTCAATGCAAGACACTTTTTGGTTTGAAAAATGGTTTATTTCTCAGCTCTTTGTATTTTTTTTAATCATTTACTTCATGAATTTACAGAATACACATTAATTAACTGTTTTAATTTGTGCTGTTTTTGACAAGCCTTTATTTTAATCTATATTTATAAAATTATGTAATGCTACAATTTTATTTATTGGTTTATTTGTCAAAACTGAATTACAGGCACTGCTTGATGTAGATGGTTTTGTTCCTGTACTAGCTTAAAACTTCCATCTAAAACTGTTGTGTGGTGACAATTTTAATTTCTTCATTTTGCTTAATTCACTTACTTATTACTTGCCGTGTTGAAGTTGTCTGGGATTCTTTTATTGCGTGTCATGAGGAAGGGGAGGGGGGGGATACTTGCAACCATGGTGCCATGGATGTTTCAGCAAAACTTTGCTTGTTCATAGTCTCCTGTGGTACTGTATGTTAAACATTGCTTAACATGCTGATTGAGTGCTCAGAGTCCAGAATTGTAGCTCAAACAATAGGTCTTGCTAATAATCCTTGATGTGATTCACACACATACTGTAATTAGATATATACTATGCAGTAGACTGGTTGGTATGGATTACTCCTGGAAGTTATGTCATGGAGAATGTCAAATGTGCATTCCCTGCATGCCCCACTAATGGCTTGGCTCAGGCTACACTCTCCCTACACTCTTTTAATCTCTCCATTTTCTTTATCTAACCATTCCTTTGCAAGTTTTTTTTCCTTCACTTAATAGGTTTTTTTTTTTTTTCTTTTTTTTTTTTTTTTTTTTTTTTTACTTATTTGTACTGTGTGCACTGCTATCAACTGTGGCAACCCCCTGAAAGATGGAGAGTTGTCCAAGGAAATGTAACGCTCACAATTTATGTAGTGTGGATTTCTCTGGTGATGGACTGGTTGTGTGTACCCGCCTAGTTGTGCTTGTGGGGGTTGAGCTTTGGCTCTTTGGTCCCGCCTCTCAACCGTCAATACACTGGTGTACAGATTCCTGAGCTTCTCGAGCTCTATCGTATCTACATTTGAAACTGTGTATGGAGTCAGCCTCCACCATATCACTGCCTAATGCATTCCATCTGCTAACTACTGAAAAAGTTGGCTCATTTGTGGTACTCAGTTTCCACCTGTGCCCCTTTGTTTGTGTATGACCCGTGTTAAACAGTTTATCCTTGTCTACCCTGTCAATTCCTGAGTATTTTGTAGGTAGTGATCATGCCTCCCCTTACTCTTTTGTCTTCTAACGTCGTGAGATGCATTTCACGCAGCCTTTCCTTGTAGCTTATGCCTCTCAGTTCTTGGACTAGCCTAGTAACATAACTCTAAACTTTTTCCAGCTTTGTCTTGTGTTTGACAAGGTACGGGCTCCATGCTGAGGCCGCATACTCCAGGATTGGTCTTGCATGTGTGGTATACAAGGTTCTGAATGATTCCTTACACAGGTTCCTAAAGGCAATTCCGATGTTAGCCAGCCTTGTGTACATCACAGATGTTCTAAAATTTTTATGTGGGATTTGGCAAACAGGTTTGGTGTGATATCCACTCCTAGATCTTTTTCTCTGCCCGTTTCATGAAGGACTTCATCTTCCATTCGGTATCCAGTGTCTGGCCTCCTGTTTCCACTGCCTAGTTTCATTACTTTACATTTACTCAGGTTGAATATTAGTAGCCATTTGTTGGACAATTCATTCAGTTTGTCTAGGTCATCTTGTAGCCTCATACCATCTTCCTCTGTCTTAATCCTCCTCATAATTTTTGCATCAACAAACAATGAGAGGAACGATTCTAAATACTCTGAGAGAGAATTTACATATCAGAAACAGTACTGTATATGTCCAAGGACTGAATCCTGTGGGACTCGCCTGGTGACGCTTCGCCAATCTGAGACCTCACCCCTCACAGTGTCTCACTGTCTTCTGTTGCTTGGGTACTTCCTTATCCAATGGAGTACCTTACCTTTCACTCCTGCCTGCATCTCCAGCTTTTGCACTAGTCTCTTGTGTGTTACTGTGTCAAATGGTACTAACCTGTGTGTGTGTGTGTGTATATGTATATATATGGAAAGATATGGAGTCCAAAATGTAATGACTGTTGAGGAGCACATACCCATGTGGTTTAAGCATGTTTGATTTATAAAAATGAGTGTTAGAAGAGAGGGGTGAAGATGAAGAGTGATTATGGTCAAATGAGGTGGATGTAGCAAGCAGTATAGTGTAATGTTGAGTGTGTATATCGAGTGTGTCAGAACTGTGATGTAGCAAAACATGAAGGCAGGATGGCAACCATTTGTATGAAAGAGGTAAATGTATTTGTACTCTTTTTGGCATATAAAGAGCACTATACACCTCGTAGGGGTTCTGCTGTGGATTACTACTACCTATTAATTACCTGAGTGAAGTTACAGGATGAGAGCTAAGCTCGTGGTGTCTTGTATTCTCAATAATGTCATATGCTGCATTGAAGCTACTGATGCTTTTGGTATCCACTGCCTTCTCACTCAAATTGTTCCAACAGTATACAACTGTTTAGGGGTAGTGGTGCTTATAAGTTATGCTGTGTAGTGTGGATGACATGACTATTGGACAAGTGCTTTATTTAATGCCAGTTAACCTTCTTGCACTATATTATTGCTCTTTTTCCTCCACCCCCATTAAAGTGCGATATGGAGTAAAGAAAATTATATAAATACAATAAGTGGTAATTATAACTGCTGACAATTCCTCTAAAACTGCAAACTACCAAGTATGAATTATCTTGGGCAGGGAGGAAACTTTACCAATTATTCTTAGTAAAGTTCTTGGGAGGCTTTCAATTACAGACTCGAGAGCAAGAGACTTGTACCTATGTATTTTTTAATTATGGAAAACGTTTCATAAGTGAATGCTTGCTATACATAACCATTTTTTTTTAATATACTGTATAAAGAGGAAAGCTTTAATTAATTTTTTTATCAGGATGAAACTCGATGCTTGGTTAAGGTTAATTGACTTAAAAATTTTAGGGAAAGATGTGTTTGAGTTGGGGAAGATTCTGCATGGGCTGCTGTATTTTGAATGTGGGCAGTGACAAAAGTGAACACAACAGCTATATGAATATGTAATTTTTTCCTTCATTTGCCGTATGCTTCTTGGCTTTAAATGAGTGAAGTTTACCTTAATTTTCCTGATGACCACCGTCACCAATAGCCCTGTCGCGGACAGGAAACCTGTGGCTTGTGAAGGATCCCCATTTTTTGTCTGACGAGTTATTAATATTTGAACAGATTTGTGGCCTGATAAGGACTGTTCGAGAATTACACACCGTGATGCGTGTGTTGGAAGCCCACTTCATCCGGCTTTGAAAAAACCAACTCTTAGTTCACTGGTCATAATTCATAAGACTTTCTTTTAGCATGTGCAATATTCTTAATTGGCATTTATTAATTACAAGCAGGACAGGTTTTGAGGAATAACTTAAGTAGGTTTGTGCATCATTCCGTCAAGAAATGCTTATTATTGATTATGCATTTTTGCAAGTTCTTAGGCCTGTTTATTTCAAAATTGCATATAATTGTTTGTTTGGTAATTGTTATGGAGACCGTGAACTAATGCTTACAATTTAGCCAACTTGGACTGTCAATGGAAAATCTGTTAGCATTTTGAGTTTCCATGGCTGCGGGGTCATGCATGATTACTGCTGCTGATCTTTTAGTGTACATAAATGAGCTTCTTGATCTTGCTGCACCCCTCCCTCGATTTCCCAATTCCTTCCCCTCCCCTCCATAAAAAGGAGGGAGAGGGGGAAGCGCTGGAAATATTTTAAACAATGATAAGTCTGAAGCACTTATTATGGTATACAGTATTTTGAAAATGAATTTCTTGATTAATTGGTCCATATAACTAAGAGATTCTCATATTACTATAATAAATCTTCGGGGATGACTACATTATTTTTTTATTGGTGAATAGTGCTTTAATCCATTGGATAAAAATTACTTTTCAGTTATGGAATTTATAGTACTGCTTATCATGTTTTTTTCTGCAACATGGTTTGAGACCCTTCCAACTGGTGGTGTACATTGGCTCAAATATGAAACATCTAATAGACAAAATTATACATTTAGAGAAATAGACTTGGTAGTAGCTATAATACCAGCACTATCACCAGTAATACACACAAGTAAAGATTGCAGCAGCATGCGGGAATCTGGCAACCATAAGAAGTGTTTAAAATTGTACGAGACTACTGTACTTCCAAATTTATTTTACATAAACTACATCAAACAAGAATTAAATGTGCATCTTCAAGCACAAAAAGATAGCAAAATAGTTATGTAGTAAGTCTAGTGCTAGAATTGATAAGCTGTAAAACCCTGTTTAAAAACTTGATCTGATGACTTAAATGAAGAGTTAACTAGATATGATTATTGCTTACCAAATATTGAGAGGAATAGTCAAAGTGGACAGAGATAACCATTTTCAATTTAACCACAGCACTGCGCAGAGCGCCTTGAGGCACTAAATCGAGGGTGCACAGAGCACCTCATGGCGATCGAAGGTATAGCTTAGGATTCAAAACTCCCACAGGTATACAGGGTTCACATCAGCTTCCTCAGGGCTCTAGTAAACAGATGCAATTTCAAAAAAAAAATCGTGGGCAACATTCCCGAGTGTG